GCGATGCGAACCGCCTGTCAGAGACGTGCTATAACTCCCCGCCTGTCAGAGACGTGCTATAACTCCCCGCGTGTCAGAGACGTGCTATAACTCCCCGCCTGTCAGAGACGTGCTATAACTCCCCGCCTGTCAGAGACGTGCTATAACTCCCCGCCTGTCAGAGACGTGCTATAACTCCCCGCGTGTCCTCCCTTATTATTTTCAGTTGATGGTCTCATATCGGAGAATGAGTTCTACTCCGCACCTTGGGATCTCAGTGGTGGTCAGATGCGTTTGAGGTCCCGTCAATCGTCGCCAGAGGTCGCGAGCGAGCAGAAGGATACCCGGACGAAACTCCGTACGGTTAATGGTGAACCCGGAATCGGGGATAATGAAAACGGAATTGGTGATCATGAATCCGGAATGACTGATGATAAGTTTGCAATGGATAAAAGTAAATCCAGAATGGATGACGATGAAAACGGAATTCGTGATGGTAAATCCGGAATGGTTGATGATAAATTTGGAATGGATGAAGGTAAATCCAGAATGGATGACAGTGAAAACGGAATTCGTGGTGGTAAATCCGGTATGAGTGATAATCAATTCGAAGTGGATGAAGGTAAATCCGGAATGGACAAAGAAGATAAAAACGAAAATGGTATTGATGAATCCGGAGTGATTGATGCTAAATCCAAGACGGATGAAGATAAACTCGGAATGGTTGACTATAAATCCGAAACGATTACAGAAAAATACGGAAAGGATAATGGTAAATCCGCCATGATCAAGGATTAGACTAGAGGACATTTAGTACAGTTAAATATCGGAGGATGAAGTAGGCTGGTTGCTTGCAACACGCGTGTCTCTCGTGACGTCTGGATAACCCCAAGATATGACACAAAGCCACAATAACACACAAACCCACAGTAACACACAAACCCACAGTAACACACAAACCCACAGTAAAACACAAACCCACTCTAAGACACACACCCACAGTAAAACACAAACCCACAATAACACACAAAACCACAGTAACACACAAACAGACGAATCGATTTCTGATGAAGTTTCGACAGACAGCTATTTACAGTTTTATCTGCTATTTACAGTTTTTAGTCGACATGCTGTTATCGAACGCGATAGATCTATAACATTCCGTGTATGTAAATACGCTTCGGTGCCACTGCAGATCAAACACGCTATCCAGGGAAGTTTTATACTTTACGTTGTGCGTATTCCTTGTAGTTTCCTTCGTAGTTCTCTCACGCGGAAGTTTCAATTGCTCTTAGATGTGGAGTGTTGTCTCGGTAAGGCAATTAGCGTGTGTGAGCGTGTACGATCAACGTGATAAAAGCAGTTTCTAACGATTTCTAATACTTAAGCCGCAGTGTAAACAGATGTCGGACAGAGAGGCCTATGTAATTATGCTCCATTATCGGTTCGTTGTTTACTCAAGCATTCTCGGATTGAATCAAACTATTCTGACAGTCACGCACGTACGCACGCGCGTTCGTTCGCTCGCTAGCGGGTGTGTTGTGCGAGCGAATTATATGCGATTTGATTTTTGCGATAGGCCAGACGAAAGTTGTTTTCAAGTGTTACGAGAGAAGCTACGAACGAATTGAAGTACTATTCACACAAAGATGGCACTGTACTGTATTATACGAAACTCTACTGCACTGTACCGAACTGTACTGTCGTGTACTGAACTGTACTGGGAAAGTTACCGCGGCGCGTTTTCCCCCTTGGTTCGCTCGTGTGATTTTCTCGGATATAGATGTTTCTTGCGTCGAGAGACCGACTATACGAGTTTTTTCGGGCTATGAATCAGACACCACCGACAAGAACGCACTTACGAAGCACGGCATGTGTGTCCGTTCCTAAATACTGCTGGCTGCGGGCCAGCGTGTGTATTTGCAGCTGTCCGCTACATGCCCCTCTGCTAGACAAACGAGAGAGAGAGAGAGAGAGAGAGAGAGAGCGAGAGAGATAGAGAGGGGGAGAGAGAGGGGGGGGAGAGAAAGCGAGAGAGAGAGAGGGGGGGAGACAGCACTTACTCTCGTAAGTCCCCGATTGCGGTCAGGATCAATTGATATGATTTCCCAACAAATAATGTAATAATGTGTTAATGTTATAAAGTATTACTGTAACAACATAATGAGTATCTACAATGTAATAATGTAATAATGTGTTAATGTAACAATGTAATAAATGTAATAAATGTAACAACATAATTAGTATGTGCAATGTAATAAAGTGATACTGTAACAACATAATGAGTATGTACAATGTAATAATGTGATACTGTAACAACATAATTAGTATGTACAATGTAATAAAGTGATACTGTAACAACATAATGAGTATGTACAATGTAATGATGTAATCAGGAGGTAATGTAATGCGTGCGCGTGTAATGATGTTAACACACGTACGTGACACGCAATATAACACGTAATAATAACACGCAATATAACACGTAATAATGACACGCAATATAACACGTAATAATGACACGCAATATAACACGGGATCTGTTTGTCGCTTAATAATGACCCAATATAACACCGTTCGTTTAGAAATGCGTCGGCGTTAGCATTGTCCGGTTTTCCGATTCGAAGTCAGAGCTTGAGTGGCTGCCTGCGTAGTAGGAGACTAGCGATGGAGCTCTTACTACCACATCTCGCCATCGACGTTTGTGGGAGAGAACGCGCTGCGCCGACCGCAGTCACAGCCGGTAGCGGGGAGCGTCGTAATTTTTTTGGCGCACACTTAGTTCGCGGACCAACCATCCCGATAAGTGTTTTGTAATAAATGGTCTTATATACTGGTTGGATATTAGTTAGTGTTAGGTTCGGTTACGTGGCTAGGGTTCTGTTAGGGTTAAGTTAGATAGGGTGGTATAGCATTCAGTACATTGTGTGCTCTCGAGAAAGTACGAGTGAATGAATGCGCTGATTGCTGTGCCGGACTCGAAGGTGGGAAAAAAATTTTGGCGCACCGGGGGGCGTTCCACATCTGCACGTCAGTCAGCTCCGAGCGACAGTCTGAAATCACTCACGCAGTCACTGCGTGCTGCTGCTGCCTGTGTGTGGTCCGCGCGTGGTGTTGCTGCTGCTTGCTTCTGCTGGCGCTGCTGTGGTGCTGCTGCTGCTCGCGCTTGGGTCGGTGTGGTGGGGTGCTGCTGCTGCTGGCTGCTGTTGTGCGCTTGGCTGCCCTTCGGTGGGTGGGGTGTGGTGGTTGGGGTGAGGTGGTGGGGGTGGGCTGCTGCGCTGCTGCTGCTCTGCGCTCGCTCGCTGCGGTGTGTGGTGTGGTGGGGTGGTGGTGCGTGCGCTGCGCTGTCCTGCTGCTCGCTGGTGGTGGTGGTGTGTGGTGCGTGGTGGCCGCTGCTGCTCTGGCTGCTGCTGCTGCGTGGTGTGTTGGTGGCGTGGGTGGGCGTGGTGGTGGTGTGGTGGAGTGGTGGTGTGGTGTGGTGATGCTGCGGCTGTTTCTGCCTGCCGATGGTCTGCTGACGCGGCCGGAAAGGCGTGTGGTGGGCGGGGTGGTGCTGCTGCGCTAGGATGGGCGGTGCTACTCGAGAGAGTAGGGGACGTTGGGTTGAGGGGGGCTGCTGCTGAGGGGCTGCGAGGCGGGGGTGCTGGGGGTGTGGTGTGCCTGAGGGTGAGGGTGCCGGGAGGGGCGTGAGCAGGGCTGGGGTGGTGTGATGGGGGGTGTGGGTGATGTGGCCTGTGTCGCGCGGCTGGCGGTGTGTGTGTGGTGTTGGTGGGTCTGCGCGCGGCTGCTGGCTGGGGGGGGTGGTGTGCTCCGCGGGCTGCTTGGGCGCTACCGCGCGGCTGGCTGGTGGTGGTGTTGGTAATCATGCTGCTGCTTGGCGGGTGGTGGGTGCTAGCTTGCTGCTGCTGTCTGGTGGTGTGTGTGGTAGTTGTGGTGGCTGGTGGGGGTGGGAATGGGGGGTGCTCCGGCGAGGGGCTTGCTCCGTGCTGGGCGGGTGTGTGTGCTGTGGTGGTTGATGTGTGCACAAGCGCCCTGGTGATTCGTACGCAGTGCTGTATGTGAACAGACCATCTGCCGCGTGGTGGTGGGTATCATTAACGAGTAACATCAACGGCGCGCTTTCCGGCGCTCACCTCGAGTGTTAGTCACTCTGCTCGGCGGGAGAGTCTCCAACACACGAAGACGTGTGGGAGGGGAGTGGGGGGGGCCCTCCCCTTCCCCCGTTCCCTTCCCCTTTCCGCACTTTCTTCCCCGTCCCTCCCCTTCCCTTCCCCCCTTGCCCCCTCCCCTTCTCCTCTTTCCCACTCCCCTTCCCCTTCCCCTCCCCCATTCTTCCCTCTCCCGCTTCCCCTCCCCTTCCCCTTTTCCACGTGGACGTTTGGGTCCCTCTTCCCCTTCCCCCTCCCTGCCTTCCCTTCCCCTCCCGTCGCCGCAGGCTCTTCACTCCCGTGTCCAAGGTCCCGATGCGTCTCACATATATAAATCGCAAAAGCAGATAAAAGAAAGGAGAGGTCGTACACGGTAAAAGCTAACGAATGCTGGGCAGCGTATAGTCGAATTAAAACTTTCCCATTATTATTCTGACGATTACTTTGCAGTATATGATTAGGCTGTCCTTACCTTGTTCATATAAACACAACGCCAATGTCCTACGATGCCCCACTACCTGAGATTATAGCGCGTGAAAATCTGATATTTCGTCGAAACGCCGACTAGACATTAGCAGAACTGCCGTCGTCCTCTCGCGAAGTGCTAATGCTTCCGGTCGCCGCTAGTTGGCGCTGACTCATTACGTCATTACTACGAATTTACTACAAGCAGACTGAGGTGTGGGTCATCACATAATGCAACAATAACAATCACGTCATAGTAAACTGGCCGCGTCTATGGACTGGAAGGGAATGAAAGATTAGTAGAGCTGAGAAAGAAATAACCATCAATCAACAACTGTCGCATGATTCAAATAACAGTATATATAAATTAGTTAACGCGTTAACCTTCTATCTGCTCTGATAGGCATTGTATAAGTACACATAAGTATAATTCGGCGGGCGGTCGATATCTCTCCTCCTCTCACTCTCACCTCCCTCCTTTTCCGCCCTCTCCTCTCTCTCTCTCTCCTCTCTACACACGCCGCGACTAATGCTAGTCGGAGTGTCTATATTCAGGCCGGTACGCGGAGATTACGTACGCCATATATTTTGCTAAATATTGACAATCGCGCGCAATAAATCACATATTCACCAGAGAGATAGCTAATGACATGTCTAGTGTATCTAAATATATTATGCAAATATCCTCTCGACACCGCTTAATCATATACTCTCTGTGAATATTTGAGTTATTGACGCACGATTAGTGCGAAATTAGCATCGCAATATATGCGCCTGGAAGTAGAATTACAATGATTAAATTTCTAAAATTCTAGATACCTATACGACACATGTTCTTCGCTATTAGCTCTCTGTGAATAGTGAGTTTATCTCGACGGGGCACGATTAGTCAATATATAGCAAAATATAGGCTACCGTAATCTCCCGTATCCGGCCTGAATATAGACACTCCAATCTATCGGCATGCCGCACGCTTCGCCTCGGCCTCGCGTGAGCCAGACGCGAACCGACCGCGGCCTGCTCGCCCACGCACGGCCCTGCGCGCCCCGTATCGAGCACAGGCACTTGGCGCGCACACTGACGCATTAAATATATCGTACACATTTATGCGCAGTGTCAGCGGCAGCCATGCGGCAAGCGCAGCGTTTGTTGCTGATGAGCATTTGGCGGCATTTGCAAGAATTGTCGTGCAATAATAGTAGTAAATGAGCAGAAGATGAAACATTAGACTTGGTAATAAATAGATTTCGATTATTTCGATTTATTTATTGAAACGCTCCAAGTGCCGTGTGATATCGAGTGCTCGCCGGCTATCGTCTGCTATACGGATGCGCATCCTCCTCCGCCCTTCTCCGTTGTTCCAGTGCTGCGTGGAGAGGAGAGGATAGGAGAGGAGAGGAGATGGGAAGAAGAGGATAGGAGAGGAGGTGGGAGAGAGATCTGTGCGTGAAGGCTCGTTAGAGCTGCGTGCCAGGAAGATGGCCGTGTTGGGGGGGATTAGCAAATGCAGCAGGAAGCTGCTGATCGACCAGATATCGATGAATTGCACCAACGGTGCGCTTTTCTCGCTACGAAGTCAAGGTGAGTATGCATGTGTCGTGTGTTGTGTGTGTGGTGTGTGTTGTGTGTGGTGTGTGGTGTGTGTGGTGTGTGTGCCGCGCGCGCCGCGCGTGTGTGTGCGTTGGTGCGTGTGCGCGTGTGTGTGTTGGTGTGTGGTGTGTGTGTGTGTGTGGTGTGTGTGTTGTGTGTGTGTGGTGGTGTGTGTGTGTGGTATATATACAGTCGTATCCGTGGCCGACGGTTGAGACCCGTCTGTGTTTTGCTGCTGTTTTTGTTTCCCTGCTTTTTGCTTTGTCTGTTGCATCCTCATTCATCCTCGTGCGATCGACATGGCTTCCATGTATCCGATGTGCCGCAGCTGAGATTGGACTGGTTCATTGTCTGCAGTGATTCATTGGAGTGATGTGCTCTGTTGATCTCTATCTGCTTCTCTCTCTCGCTGTGTGATATGCTTTCTTGTCTGCCCCCCTCGCTTTCTTTCTCTCTCTCTCTCTCTCTCTCTCTCGTCTCCCGCTCACTCTCTCTCTCCTCTGTTCTCTCTCCTCTCCACGCTTTTCCACTCTCTGTGTCCTTCTTTCTCCTCTCCTCTATCTCTCTCTCCTTCTCTCTCTCTCTCTCTCTCTCTCTTTCTCCACTATCTTTCGTTCTTACTTTTATTTTCTCTCTATCCCCCTTCTCTCCTCTTCCCGCTCCCCGCCTCGCCATCTCTACATCTCGATATATATCAGCCCAAGTCTTATTCTAGGGTTAATCTAGAGGCATGTAATAAGGCCAGCCACACGCTGTTAGTGTTGTTCGCGCGCACAGGCACTTGAAACGTCCTAAAAAAT